GACCATACATGAATCTATAACCACTAATTATTTTTTTAAAAATCATTTGAGTCATCTTGGAACTCCATAAAATCGAAAAAATTCTGAAATTATGGTTTTAGACCTGCAATTGTGATCGCGCCAAACTTTTTTTTCTGTAGATCAAAAATTAATTTTCGGTTCGGAATTGTTCTGTGGGAGAGCGTGAAGTGGTCAACTATTGTCGAATTAAAAAAAAGTGACACCTGAAAATTTGAAAATCGTCGCATTTTTCGATCTACGAAAAAGCGCGGCAAAAACGTAATATTTCAGATTTTTGCCTCGTTCGAGCTACTTTCGCAATTAAGTTCATTTCTTTGATGAGAAACTGATTCAAAAGATGCTAGCGATCATTTTCATACCAAAAAGCCTACATTTTGTCCAGAAAATCCCACTAAATTCCCATAAATTAATTTGTTATCTACAGTATCCGTTTTGGGAGCGATGTCTCGTAAATCGACATGAGCGTTACCCGCGAAAATTTTCAGGACCCAGTTTGTTTAATCCGACAATAACAAAATATTTATCATGATTTCAAAAATGTTTTATCAGTTTACATATGTTTTATATCTCTTACAGAAATTGAGATAATTGACCTCGAAGTGCAAGTATACGCTGATCTACTATTAGAGTGTTTACGATAGCTAAAGTCAAACTATTTCCCACTGTCAGCAGGAATATGGGTTCTCTGAACTATCAACGACGTACAGAACAGCAAATATATAAGATTTGAAGTCTGGAATCCAGTATTCCAGGAACGGTAAAAACTGAACATACCGTAAACCCTGAAATCCAAGGGCCCCAACACTGTCAATTTTGAACTCGATTGCAAAGCAAGGTACCAAAAATCTGTCAATTAAGAAGCCCTTGTGATGTAATAAAAATCAATTCATCAGTTGACAACTATTTTATATCTTTCACACAAACAAGATAAAGAACTTAAAACTTAGGCTGCAAGTCTATCATAGGTTCTACGGTGGTTTGACTTCTCACAGAATTCTTTCAAAAACGAAAGAAGTTTTGAAAGCCACTGCTTCTTTTTTCTGAAGAGCGAATTTTTCGACTTCTCAAAATTTTCCCTTGGTTTCCATAGCATTCAAGAACTGATAATTATGACCAGAGCCCACTTTGAACCCCTTCATTCCTATATGTACTTTTTATTCAACTTGCTTCTTTTCATCTGAGAAATAGTGAGAAAATGATAATTAAGCAACAGATGTTTTTCAGGGGAAGAAGAATGAGCAGATGTTTTGAGCGTAAAAGTTTGTAGGCGGGAATATGGATCAAAGAGTTCATAAAAGTTCAGTTTTTTGATGCAAAGCTTCCACTCAAAACGTTAAAAAATAAATCATATTGATAAATTGTGACATTTTCGATTGATTGTTAAATTTTTTAACTCTGCAATGTTCATACTTGAAGCTGAAAAAATGATATTGTTCGCTTCTTTTTCTTATTAAAATGATATTCTGATACAAAAAAATAGAGTAGAGGAAGAGAAAGACTGGTGGCCGTGGCCGAAGGTCTTACAACGAAAACTACCGCAACCATAAAATAGTATTTTCCGGATTTATTTTCTCGATTTTCCTGAGTTTTCAGTCAACTATTTGCCCAACAAAAACTTTTTGAAATATTTTCTGATTGTTTGGGAGAAAACAACAGAAAAAATCGACAGAAAGCAGTGAAAAACGGGAAAATAAACTCTGAAAAAAATAGTGGTTACTGTAGCTGAAGATCTGGGGTTTTCGGCCACGGCCACCGACGTTTCTCTTCCACAGCGCCAATGTTCCGTACCAGTAAAGTAACCTGGATTTCAAACTTTTCTTTAACACTCTGTAATTTGTTTTTATTTTACTCGGCTAATAGTCATATCCTTCTCTCTCTTGCTTGTCTCCAACACATTTCATTTCACTATACTAATTCCGAAATTTCGGATTTCACTTGAGAGACCTCTGGGCGGTTTCCATTGACAACCACCTCGTATATATGTGATAATAAGAAAAGGAAATATTTGTACCAAAAGAGACGAAGACAATCAATTTTCTCTGATTCTCGTGCATTCCAACTGTGTTTTCGTTGGTCCTATTCTACTCAGCCCCCTTTTTCTTCTCTCTTCCTGCTATAGCAGGTGATTACTCTTCCTCTCGCAGTCATGGAGATGTGCTCCGTGAAGAAAGAACTCACTGCTCACCTAAAGAGCTTCAAGAGCCCCACTCTCTCGTTTTGTCGAAATATTTCTATAGTCGCTGTATTGACGTCACAAACGGATTTTCGACTCAAGACTCTCTTTACCGGTATTTTGAGAACGAAAGCGGATCAAAATCTTGAGCAGGTCCATAACTTTGATTAAAGTCGAAAGATTAACCACATACATTTACGTAAGCATTCTTCTGTAAGAAACTTATCCCCGGCTCTTGATGACCCGAAATCCGATATTTGGAGCCAAAAACAGGGATGTTTAAACTTTCTCTAGATACATATAAATATATTTGAAATGGTCCGGAGATGAGAGACAAGTCTGAACAGGCAATGAACATAGGATTTTACGGTATCCAAGTCGTTTGTTTGAAATCTTCTAACAGTGACTGAGAATTACTCAACATTTTAACACACTTCTCCGTCTCATAAGTTCTCATCCTTCTGAATAACCTCGATTCTAGGTGTCTATCTAGGCTCCGCCCACTATTTCATTCTAATCCATTCACTCTTGAGATGCATTACCGATACTGCTACTTGTCGATTCAGACTCTCTTGTGACATATTATATTATGAAGTACATATTCATAAGTTGGTAGGTGAACAAGTTCGAGTGGTGATACGGAAATTCATCGATTCTAAACACTTTACAAAATTTCCATAAATTTGTATGATGATATACACGCTAAAGGAATTGGGATTATGCAAATTGAACCATCCAATGAGTACTGTAGCATATTTAGGCTCCGCCCACTTGGATTTACGTATAAAAGGCAGGATGAGCAACCTGTTATTCACAGTTTTCAGTTATTCGTTCTACGCAGTCTAGTACAAAGTTTCTACCATAATAATGTAAGTTTCTCAATTCAAGATTTCGGATCTCCGTAGTTTTGACCATTTTATCCAACCTAATAATGTGATAAATGCATCTTAACTGCGGTGATCTGGATTTTGTGAACCGTTTTTTTTCACCTTTAAAAATTTAGATTCATTCTAAAATAACAGAATAATAACAGAAAACAGCATAACAAAAGTTACATAAAACGAAGGTAAGGAAGAGAATGATGAGGTACTTCGAATGGCGACCCGAGCATCAGAAGTGAGGACATCGTCAATTCGAAGTATTCGACCCGGTGTATGATTGCAGGAATCTTCAATCGAAAGAAGAGAACACATAAGAGAGTAGATATCGAATAGTTGAATTGGTCCTTTTCGATATCCAACACGAAATGCTGAAAACAAGAATATATAATGATGTAATCCTCCAAAATTAGATTAGATGTATTATTTGAGAACTTTATCATGTTGAAACGACAATTTCAGATTTTCGAAAACCTATAATCTTTATTTACAAAAGTATCTTGAAATCAGACTTTTGCCATGTATCGAACACATTGTCAAGTAGGGGAACACATATTACTGACTCTAGTTTCAATTGCGGTGTGTGTGTGTGTGTTTTATACGGTATTATTGAGGTATCTTGCGAATACAACAACAGATTCAGCAAGTTTCAACAAAAACTTGTAGAACCGGATGAGTATCTCTGATAAAGAGTTGCAGAAACAATGTCCAGATTATATTTAACTTTAAAATTTGGGAATGAAGCCGAAATGTGACATTGAAAATTGTAGGTTTCACATTCGCTAGTTTTTTTAGTTTTTCGTTTTCTCATTCGACATTTTTAGTTTATCAGTATTATTCTGGTACAAAAACAAGAAGAAGAGAAACGTCTATAGCCGTGGCCACAACGACAACTACCGTAACCAAAAAATGTTTTTATTTCCTGTACTAATTTTCTTAATTTTCGGGAGTTTTCAGTCACCGTTTTCTCTATCAAAAATTTTTACTCGTTTGGAGAAAAATAACAGAAAACTCGTCAAAAATCAAAACTAGAAAAACATATTGGAAATATTGGAAATTTTATTGGAAAAATCATATTGGAAATTTTTAGGTTACGGTTTTAGTTGCCGTTGTGGGATCTCCGGCCACAGCTATCGTTTTTTTTGTACCAACTTAATATTTAAATTTGAAGTTTCGCAATGAAACAGAAATTTGTTGAAAAATATAGGTTCAAATTCGCTAGTTCTTTTAGTTCGTTTTTCTTTTTCGACATTTCCAGTGGTGTTTTTTTTTTAATTGGAGTTGTTCAACCATGAGTTTTGTATTAGATTTGAAATTTTCAAAAATACCAGCAGGTCTAACTGATATATGATGTTATTCTGAGTTTACTTTTTTGTTCGAAACCTCACCTGGTCCATAACCCAAAAATACTCCTAAAACATCAGGTAACTCATTATTGTATCCATCGATAGCTGCAGTTATTTCATGAAGTTTTGGCTTTGGAAATTGTTTTTTCTCGTCTTTCTGAATGAAAAAAATCTAAAAAGTTTTGTGCTGCATATTGACATACCGTAACCACTGCATAGCCAGGATCTGCTAATAAAACCAGATCCGCCACAATGTCACTCTTCTTGAAATGATAGTGTTCTGGTAAGTCTCCTGTTTTTGGAGTTGTATAATAAACATGAACATTCGGAATCGGATGGTGATCATGAAGTTGACTGTAAACTTGATGAGTTTTTCCTTTTTTCACTTGTAACTGTTTTATGGCTCCACTGCCTACTGTAGTTTCTATCAATTCCATTGGAACGTATTCGTCGATCACTCTGAAATTGAACATATGCGTAGGTTTCAGGATTAAAGCTGCTCTCAATACTAAACTTGGATTTGATCTATTTTGGATTTTTGTTAAGATTATTTTAGGCCGGATTGACATAAATAATCCAGAGTACGGGGTGAAACTTAATAACGATGACATGTTTTTCCGAGGTCATCGGAACACAAAAAATACCTGATATTCTTTCTTGGAACATCAATAAATCCATGAGTCGATACAACAATAACATTCAAATCAGCTCTTTCCCTCGCTTGAGCAGTCAATCTTTCAAGACTTTGAGCAAATCGAAGAACTTCTTTTGAATGTTTTTCATTGGTATGATGAACTCCTTTCCTACGAATCTCTTCTCCTATCCAGGGATGGTAGATCAGAGTCAGATCGTGCTCTCTAAAAATATATGATTGACGGTTTTAAGCTGAGCCTGAGCTTACTTTGTAGCTTGAATCACACGTTTTGCCTGCGATTCGTCTGCAAATGTCTTCCCGTCAGTTCTGGGTGGGACACATATTTGCGGTGCTACATCCCAATCGACGTCACATTCCGGAAAGAAGAACATGGCTACTGAAGCAGACGAACGGAGTGCTGATATGTAAATAGGATCAATGGACCACCAGTCTCGGGAAAAGTCGGAATCAGCTGTGAAATTTTGGAATTTCAAGTTATCTCGCCAATTATGGATGAAGTCTCCAATCAGTCCGTGACGACGAGGAAGAGTTCCTGGAATTTGTTGAAAATTTTTTGGGTAGCGTATTACTGTACTTTGTCTAATAGAAGCTCACCAAAACCATCAATTGCAAGCTCAATTTTCTCGATTCATGTGTAAGATATCGAAAAGTTGTCAACTGATAAATGGTCCGCCGCAAGAACTTGCCAATCGAATACAACCCAAAATTGGTCACAATTGATGCATTGAACTCTTTTTTAATGGTTGTCAAAATGAGGGGTTCATAACTGATATACTATGTATTTATCACAATATGACCAATATTTTATCTGTTGACAAATTTTTGATATCTTCTACAGGAAATGAATTATGTGGACGTTTTGAAGGAAATACGGTAGATTGAATACTTAGTTTCTCATAGTCAGACAAATTCAGGAAAAAATTGTGTTATTTTTTTCTGATTTGATTTTTTCGTTTCAAAAACTCACCAGTTAACAAAGAGTGCCGATTGGAAACAGAAAAAGTGGGGAAAACTGGAAATACTTTGGTTGACCAAATGCCTTCCTCTTCAAATGTTCGAAATACTGATAGATGAGAGAACTTGTAGAATGTGTTCGCAGCTAATCCATCAATCACTACTACTGCTAGTTTTTGAGATGAGACGAAGTTGAATATTGATTGAAGAAGTAGAAATATAAACCATTTCAAAGTTATCGATGTCATTTCTATTTATAAGTGATGTAGTTTTTACATGCTTCCAGATAAAATATTTTCTGAAACTTTATAAAATACTTTTTTAAAGAGAAAGAAGATTTGAGAAGAGGATTAGCAAAAAGTACAAGAAGTTTAATTAAAGATACTTCCGGAAAAAGTGCAAAGTAATAAGAAATTGCAAGATAGGAGCAAGGAGAAGGAGGAAGATGAGTTGAAAGACAAAGTATATGAAATTAGCATACATGCACAACAGATGAAGTCAATTAAAATCATGTATAGGAGATGAAGTGTAGGAATGAACCCTTTTCTTGCTTCATCTTCTTTTGAAAATTTCGTTTCATAGTACCAAAAATTGGGTAAACGAAGAATAAAGATGATGGAAACAGAACATAGATTCCCGAAATGGCTTTTTGGAATCCGATATGAAGTAATTTTCTCGAAATTCGAAAGTTAGAATCCGAAACGAAAAAAAAACTAGGTTACATACTGTATGGTGGAAAGTTAGACCTTTGGATTCTTTATTTGGGTTACGATAGATTTCAATTAAAAAGTAGAAAATTAGGCAGATTGACATTTTTGTTAGAAAAAAGACCGTCAATGCCACACGAGGAGAAATGTCTCGATTGTCTTTGAGACTCATCCATCTTCCTTACCTCTTCTCTTCCTCTTTCGAGCAAAATGGATGGGAAGAGGGAGGAGGATTTAATTGTATTACCGATGACAAATTGGTGAGTAGAACTAGAGATAATAAAGAGCAAAGAAGAGTTTGAGAGAAAAAGGAAAATGATTTTGGAAAAAGAAACACTCTCAAGAACTCGAAAAGAACTTTGCCGAAAAAATGAAATTACTGGCGGCAATTTTTGGATCAAAGAAATTTTGAATAGGATCCTATCCATAGAAGAAAAAAGTCGCTGCGATACCCTTCTTTTGAAAGCTAATACACAGCGGATTAGGAGTATTGTTATACACAAAATCTTGGAGAAAATAGAAGGTAACAGAGATATGAGAATGTTTGTTCTCAAAGGTAAATGAGATCGAAGAGCCGAGAAGCGGGAGGATCTCGCGCAGACACGAACGCGAGAATGTGTAATAGAAAAGACAGAGAGGTTTTGAGAGTAGCAATGAAAGAGTTATCACTCATTTCGATTATCAATTTCAATCGTATCGAGAAGTGGATAAACTCAAAATCGTGGTTTTGGGATTGCGCTCGTGTTTCTGATACTATAGCATTACATATCCGAATATGCTAAGTTTTTCTAACCATATTATTCTGTTACGAAAATCCGGGGCTGTGGAAAAGAAAAGCCGGTGGCAGTGGTCAAAGGTCCCAGAACGAAAATTATCGTAGTATAAAAATATTTTTCATTTTCCTGATTTATTAAATCGATTTTCGTGTTTTTTCAGTCTTCCGACTTGTGTACGGAAAAATAACGGGAAACATTACGAAAATCTGTAAAAAAAGAGAAAATGAATCCTGAAAATAAAAATATTTTCAGGTTACGGTAGCAGTTGTTGTGGGACCTTCGCCCACGACCATCAGCGTTTTTCATCCACCGCGCCGCTTTTTTGTTCCAGAATAATATAGATATTTTTACATTTTCAACAATTCAGGATTACTGTATCTACGAGTTTTTTTTAAAAAACACAATTTGAAAACTGGTGGACGCCTTCAAATGAGCAGATTTTTCAATGTCAGAAGAAAACCGAGAGTTGAAATTACAAAGTTCATTTCATGTCTTATCTTTGAATGAATCTACTCGACTCCTTTGTATTACACATCCCGATTAATTGTACACATCGGAACATACGTCTGTCAGGTGGTGTCTTTTGGATAAATTGACACATTTTGTTGAATTTCGAACAATCTGAGAAAACAAACAATGCTTTTTTCATCCGCAACTTTTCAAACGAATGACACAGATTAGATAAAAACAAATGGTTTGGTGAGATTGTGCATAAGAGTAACGGGAAACATAGAAAAGTATCAATAAATATTGCAATAAAGTGAGATCGAGACGAATATTCAGGTCGAGAATAAAAGGTGATCCAAAATAAGCGCTTTGGTTTTGTTGCTGAGTGCGTCTATCTGGTCACGGCATTCTCTCAAGTCATCGACTGATTGGATTGTGGCAATTTTGTACCCCTGTAAATAATGAATAACTAAAGAAAATAGAAAAATAAATAATTTCACCATTAACTCTCTTAATCCGAAAGTTTGTGCCAGCATAAGTGAATCTTCTAGATTGAAACTACCGTGCTTCACGAGCCATTTGTCAGCTACTTCGAAGACAATTGGACATTTCAGAGCTTTTGCGATGGCCAGTAAATGGTAGATGAGCTCCAACTGCTTCTTTCTGTTGTTCTCTGGAAACTTTCGGAACTTATTGTTAAATAAACAATTTATTTCCGCAATTGTACCTTTGATCCATCGTTTAGGCGGCAGATGAGGAGGATATATCATGTTCAGAATTCGCCGGAAATCGCGTGGGGACACATTGCATATCTCGATGCTGTCTGTGTCGAGTGCCTCAGCGAACGCTTCAAGAAAGACTGGAGATGCCATTGATAACGTCTGTAACAAGGCTTGGCAACAGTACACCAGGTGATCTTAATTTCAAGGCTACCATTCGATTTATATGGAATACGGTTCCATCGACA